GTTTGAGCTCAGTGGCCCAATCAAAACCCTATCCTTTGTGACTCTCGGCACAACAGGCCAATCACACAGTCATTGTACCAAATCTGAAAACCAGTGTCATAATCTCAGACTCAGAGGATCAGAAAGTCAGACTGTTCTCTGTAGAAAAACTGATATTCCCAATAAATAAGTTACAGCCAAAAAAAGGATTTGCAAAATGTTTATTTATATAAACACAGACATATATATGGTCTCATTTGAACCAGCGGATCGAGCCGTACATTGCCAAAAGCTTTAAACCAAAATAGAATAAATGAACAGAAAGATCAGTGTTAAAACATAAATAATCTGATAAACTGGGGAATTTACTGCTTTGAACAAAATGACACTTTATTCAAATCATCATCTTGATCACATGCATTTTATATTACAAATTCCCACAATGCTTCGAAGCAGAGGCAAACCATGTGTGCAGCAGGAAGAAACAGATTTTACTCAACATTTGTCTGATATCAGCGCTGGTGTAGGTTAATGTAGCTACACTGGCATACAATGTATTTGAAAGACAAGCAGGTATTTAAAACATGAACGCAAAAAAAAAAAAAAAAAGAGTATCATTACAAAGAAATGTATAATAATCTTTAATTCAGTAATTAATGACTGAGATTAGAGCAGGACCCCAGAACCAACCTGATGGTAACAGCAGCGTTACCATGTAACATTTGTAATTTTGTCTAATCGAGTTTCCAGCATGTTTATTGTGGATAATAAAAGCTGTGCACACATCCTCAACTGCATAAAAAGAGAACTAAACACAAATAAACAATGAGGCCAATATTTCCAGTGGCCAGTAAACAGGGGATATGATTTATACAAACTCGCACATACACAATCTCTCTCTTCACACACACATACACACACCTGGTTTTCCTTAAACCTGGTCTCTGAGTTTGGCCAGTCTCTGAGAGAGCTCGTCCTACAGTGACAAATATAAAACCATTATAGCACATATCTGACATGAGTTTGTTCGTATTTCTATATTCAAGTATGTGTGTTATAATACCTGTTCTGCAGATGCTACGCTGGTTCCCACCGATCCTGTCTGACCTTGAGGAAGCTCCATATTGAGGTCCAGCCTAAAGGCACAAGTACAGGCATTGTTTTTTTTATCTTACATGTTTGTCCTAAATTGGGTTCAGTTACCAAAAAGATTTCCTGAATCTGAATATCAATAATTATTGGCTAACTGATTAAATTACTTAGTCATTAATTCATAGTCTGATATATCATATAGAAATAATAATAATACACTACCGTTCAAAAGTTTGGAATCAACTGAAATTTTCATTTCTATTAAGCAAATGCATTGAATTGACCAAAAAAGGGACAGTAAAGACATTTACACCTGATCAGAAATATTAGAATGATTTCTGAAGGATCATGTGACTCTGAAGTCTGGAGTAATAGCTGCTGAAAATCTAGCTTTGACATCTCAGGAATAAATTATATATTTAAATGTATAAAAATAGAAAACAATTAATATATATTCTAATATTTCACAATATTATGTTTTTTACTGTATTTCTGATCAAATAAACACAGCCTTGTTGAGCATAAGAGACTTTACAAAAATATCAACAAAAAGTTACCAACCCCAAACTTTTGAATGGTAGTGTGTATTATAGTATTTACTTAAAAAAATATTAATAATCTCAGCATTTGGAAATGTTCTTACCCGGCCTCATCTGCCATTTCCATCATCAGAGCATCGACTTGACCCTAAAACACAGCATAGTGTCACAAAAGGTAAAACAACTATGTCAGCGTAGTAAGCATGTGTATGTATCACCTGTGGTGTAGTGAGTGTTGTGGTGCTGCTCATTGTGTCCTCCATCTGAGCCGTCTGTACGTCCAGAGTTTCAAACTGGCGCTCAAACTTTTCCATTAGAGCTGAAATCTGACCATTTGACAGAGAATTAATACTGCCAATAAAATCTAAACAAATCAGATCAATGCAATTATTTTTATAAGGTGCTCAATGAAAACACTTCAAAAACAAAGAACTCGTCCTTTCACCTTCTCAAGGTTCATGCTCTTCAGGGTTACGTCCATGCCTTTCACCACCCCAGCCATAGATTTGGTGACCTGGAGAATTAAAAATCTAAAATTAACTTAACTCTCTTGGATAAATACTTGGGTATATCTAGTTTAAAAGGAAAAAGCAGTTTGTGTACCTTGTTCATGGTGACTGCCGTCTGTACTCGAGCAGCCACCGCATCCACTCTAGCGCTCATTCTAAGGAAGTTCACTGATTGGTTCTTCTGGCGGATGGCGTTTTCCGCATGTATCCGGGCAACCTCCATATTGCCCTTCTGGACTGCCTAAGTAACACAGACATAAGCAGTGGTTCATTGGGACATTGGTCATTAAAACGGTCTTAGATTTGAAGCAATACATTTTACATATGGCAAAAAATGGATGAGCTTAAGTGTGAACAGAATTGGTGATCAGACTGCTTTAAAAAGTTTGTAACGTTAATCAGAACTTTCACTCAAGTACGTTTTGGCTAGATATGACTTTTATATTTAATATAATTCTTGAACATGTATGTTTACTTTCAATTTTTTCACAAGTATAATGTATCAGTACTTTTTTCTATGCAAAGCTTAAAAATCATAAAGCAGCTCCAAAATCGGTTGGGTTAAGATACTACAGCCTAAAGGTACTTTTTCTAAATGAATGGAGTGTCTAAATGCCATTCAATGGATGTGTGTGTTTTGCTTTTGTTTGTGACTGTTTACCTTCTTGACCTTGGCCTTCTCTGCTTTCTCTTCTTTGTCACATTTCTTGGAGCTGCGCTGAAGTTCTTTGGCTGCAAACTTGAGGTTAAACAAATTCTCTGAAGTCAAAGGTCAAGGAAAGATTTTAAACAGAACCGCAATGTGTGCGTGTTATTATCTGATACCTTCAATAGATTTGTATTTATAAAAAAATATGCCCAATACACACTTCAACAATGTAACAATAACGATTACATTATAAACCAACAATGTACATTGTCTCGAAACCGAACAAACTAGTCTGACAGGCTGGGCTGAGTTCCTAAATAACACAGAGGCGGCGACTTACCTGTACCTGGCGGAATTTGACGATATTTTTGATAACCCAATTACCAAAATAATCACTTGTCATTTCATAAACTGACTAAATTAAAAAGTCTCATTTAACTTTCCAATTTAAATGGTTTTACTAAGCTACATACTAAAACCCACTCTGTAAATCAACCTGTAACGTTACCTCGACCGATGAGACAAGAAATCCCGAATGTGCGTTGTTTGATATAACGGCTATAATGTGACTCGACCTACTGGTAACGTTATATGCTCAAATGTTGCCACCACCGAGTTAAACCCATAAGTAACTCTAAGTGAAAGTGATTAGGGTCCGATAGTGACTCTGGACCGGGCCCGACCACTGCAGTCCGCAAGGATACTCTCCATGTTCGACATAATCCGGTTCGGCTGCTGGTTCTTCTTGAGGAAGTGTGACGATTAGACGGCAGTAGTTTTCAGTCGTGACTTTGCCAAGCTCTTCGTGTGGATCAGTAGCTGTCCCCCGCTCGGTTTGTTGTAATTTTTCTTCACTTCCGGCTTCTCCAAACAACTGGAGTGACGTCACAGTCATGCGCTCAGGTCAGCGATCGTGGTGATGTCACTGGCAAAACAGCGAAAGAGAGGATAACGATCCACACACACACACACACACACACACATCTATAGATGTAGATCAAATACATCATAGTTTTATCTACATTCATGTCCTTTTGACTGGTACAGATCAGAGAGAGACAAATCACAGTTACACCTTTATTATAAAAAAAAAACAACCCAAAATGTGTAGAAAAACAGGACATAAGTTTATGACATCTAACATCATGATCATCTTCATTATTATTGTCACTGAACAGACTGAGACTTTGTCACAAGACAACAGATCCCTGATACAAAAAAGAAAAAAAGGGCCATGAGAAATGGAAAGGAAATGAGCAGACAAAAACTCATCTGTTCAACTCCTTTTTAAATGAAGGGAACAGCACAGAGCTTGAGGAGGTTAATGCTGTATCCTGATTGGCTGGGAAACATCTTTTAAACGGGTGAGGAAAAGCAGTTTTGAGACTAGATGGAGAGGGTGCTTTCCACAGTAGTGCAACAGAGAGAAAAACAAAAGTGAGAAAGAAGGATAACAGAAGAAGATAAGGGAAGGTCAAATCAGAAAGAGAGAGAGAGAGAGAAAGATGTTCCAATGTTTAAAAAAAATCATTTTTGTACACACACCCCTTGACACCACAAACCAAACTCCGATTCAAACTGGAGTGACGTCACAGTCATGCGCTCAGGTCAGCGATCGTGGTGATGTCACTGGCAAAACAGCGAAAGAGAGGATAACGATCCACACACACACACACACACACATCTATAGATGTAGATCAAATACATCATAGTTTTATCTACATTCATGTCCTTTTGACTGGTACAGATCAGAGAGAGACAAATCACAGTTACACCTTTATTATAAAAAAAAAAAACAACCCAAAATGTGTAGAAAAACAGGACATAAGTTTATGACATCTAACATCATGATCATCTTCATTATTATTGTCACTGAACAGACTGAGACTTTGTCACAAGACAACAGATCCCTGATACAAAAAAGAAAAAAAGGGCCATGAGAAATGGAAAGGAAATGAGCAGACAAAAACTCATCTGTTCAACTCCTTTTTAAATGAAGGGAACAGCACAGAGCTTGAGGAGGTTAATGCTGTATCCTGATTGGCTGGGAAACATCTTTTAAACGGGTGAGGAAAAGCAGTTTTGAGACTAGATGGAGAGGGTGCTTTCCACAGTAGTGCAACAGAGAGAAAAACAAAAGTGAGAAAGAAGGATAACAGAAGAAGATAAGGGAAGGTCAAATCAGAAAGAGAGCGAGAGAGAGAAAGATGTTCCAACGTTTAAAAAAAATCATTTTTGTACACACACCCCTTGACACCACAAACCAAACTCCGATTCAACTTATGATCGCTTCAATTTATGTCTTCACTATCCTGAAAATACACCAGTGAAACACATTAACATTGATTACATGATCACAGTAGATGATTTTCAGAGTTTCTTGTTGTCTTCCTTGTTCAAAACATAACAGCCTTTTCAGTCTTTCATGATAATGGTGTAGAGAAAATAATAAAAATAAACAGTCTGTTGCTCTTCAGATAGCTTGAGGGCACCAGCTTCAATTTACATTATATCTGAACCAGCCAGAGTCCAGGATTCAGACATCACCTCACATCCACCAATCAGCTGCCACATATACTTGACATAAAATGTGCAAACATTATCAATACTAATGTTCTCCTTACTGCAAGATAAGAATGAATCAAAGTGTATCATACAAGAGTGGAAAAATATAAATATATTCTGTAAAAACAGTCTGAAGTGTTTGTGTATTTGAACAAGAGGAGAAGGGAGAAGTGCATTTTCTCCTACATTTCCCATAATCCTCCTCGCGTCTGTGCTCAAATAGATTAATGAGTGATCTGGAAGTAGTTAATGCACCTCAGAGGTTGCACCTGCACCAAAATTGATTATATTATTGAACAGAGGTAAATGCATAACCTGATTTAATAGTAAAGTCAAGTCAGCTGAATTAGACGGTAAACGTAAGTATTCTCAATGACTCCCTGCGTAAAAAAGGGTATGAAAAGAATCCGAGATGGAGGAAGGGAGAGGAGAGCAGCACCATCTTTCTGACAGAATAAATTCCTCGGAGTAAAAGAAACCAAGATGGAAATCAAAGTGAAACAGGAGGAGGAAGGGATGATGAACACAGAGAGGGGGAAGGAAAGTTGACTCTTTAGCACTCTGGACCAGAATAAGGCAGAGGTGTGGCTGTTGATGGCGTGGTAGTTTCTGTGGAAACCACAGAGAAGAGAGAGCACCACAGTCCAGGAAGAGTCATGAACATCAAGTTTTGGAGACAAAAACAGCAAAACAAACAAGTCACAAAAAGACAGTACAAAAACAAAATCCCTGCAGTATCGCTGTAGTGAGTCTGTGTAAACATCATAAAATGTCAATGTGTCCAGCCCATGAGATGGCTGACCCTTGCACGTTCAGTCATGCGACGGACTCTTCCAGAACGTGACATTCCTAGATTCAGTGGGTCTGTTGTCAGCCCCTCATCTTCAGAGTCATCGTTGTACAGGACAGTCCTTCGACCCTGGTTACGAGTATTAACCCGCCCCGACTTTGGAGTACTTTGATTTGACCTCTGACTTCCAGTTTTTGTTGACGACGAAATGACATCGTCTTCCCCTTCTGATTCCTCTTCTTCTTCAAGTTCCTCCTCTTCCTCCTCAGGTTCCTCCTCTTCCTCTGGTTCTTCCTCAGGCTCCTCTTCATCTCTTTCATTTGCTCGCCGTGCTCGTTTTTCTGGTGTTGTTGTTTGCGATCCTACTTTCCGTTTTCGTTTTGCGTTTTCAACAGAGGCCGATGCCGCGTTGCCTTTCTGTTTGTGTTGCGGGGCTTTGCTGTAGTCATGATCGCCGCCGTCGGCAAAGCTGGCCACCTCAGCCCCGCTGTCGTCACTCTCGGACGAAGACGACGAGGTTCCGGAAGAGGACGACGATGCGGATGTTGAGGATGATGATGAGCTGGTACTCTCACATTCAGAGACCTCTCCCTCTTCAGTTAACGTGGCAGCTCTCCGACGTGAACTTCGACCTGCGTTTGGCAGAAAGCCATTGCCACCTATATAGATGCACAGAGGACACAATTTCATGGTCAAATTGGAGGTAAAGCAAATTCTTTGCAATATACACTACCATTCAAAAGCTTGTGGTCAGTAAGATCAGAATTCATTCCAATATGCTGATTTGGTGCTCAAGAAACATTTATCATCAATGCCTGTTATTGTCAGGCGACATTCACCCTTGTACAGGTCCTAATGGGGAAGTTTGTCCCGGTTTTTACAAAGGGCGAGTTTTGGAATCCGGATTGTACTTGGCTGAACGGAATTCCGCTGTTGTACAGCTACGAGTGTCATGCAGTGACAGGGCTCCAAATATTAACAGCATGGCTAATAATATATCTCACCTTTTCATGGATAATGGCGTGGTCATAATGGGCGACGAGGCAGCTGCGAGGTCTAGTTTGGAGAGGACAGTTTGCCGGGGAGGATGTGTTGTGGACCAGAAAGGCACTGAATACGATGAGAGCTTAGTTGATGAAGAGACTCTTCCAGTATCAAGAGATTCTGCCGATTTGTTTGGGGACTATTTTGACACAAAAGGTTTACATTTTGTGCACTTAAATATAAGGAGTTTGTTACCCAAGGTTGATGAAGGTGCTTACTTAAGAACTGTAAAGTGGGGATTTTTTGCTTAACAGAAACATGGTTAGACACATCTGTAACTAATAATGAAATAAAAGTAGACGATTATAATGTTATTAGGAAGGATCACAATAGACAAGGAGGAGGTGTTTGTATTTTTATTAGATCGGATATTAATTTTAATGTGTTAGACATTAAAGGAACACTCCACTATTTTTTAAAATAGGCTCATTTTCCAACTCTAGAGTTAAACAGTTGAGTTTTACCGTTTTCGAATCCATTCAGCTGATCTCCGGGTCTGTCGTAGCACTTTTAGCTGCAGCTTAGCATAGATCATTGAATCTGATTAGACCGCTAGCACCTCGCTCAAAAATGACCGAAGAGTTTCGATATTTTTCCTATTTAAAACTTGACTCTTCTGTAGTTACATCGTGTACTAAGACCGACGGAAAATGGGTGCAGCAGGCGCAATGATATTACGCAGTGCCTGAAAATAGGCTAACTTCCGCCAACTTAACCAACGTGACCACCTGCTTGCACAGGGAGCGTGCTGGGGACTATTTTCAGGCACTGCGTAATATCATTGCGCCTGCTGCACCCATGGTACGGCAGCAAAGTTCCTTGATTATTACACCGGAATGAGAGTATAGTTCCTAGCCATATCGGCCTAGAAAATAGCAACTTTTCATTTCCCATCTGTCTTAGTACACGATGTAACTACAGAAGAGTCAAGTTTTAAATAGGAAAAATATCGAAACTCTTTGGTCATTTTTGAGCGAGATGCTAACGGTCTAATCAGATTCAATGATCTATGCTAAGCTGCAGCTAAAAGTGCTACCGCCAAAACCGGAGATCGGCTGAATGGATTAGAAAACGGTAAAACTCAACAGTTTAACTCTAGAGGAGTTGGAAAATGAGCATATTTTCAAAATAGTGGAGTGTTCCTTTAATGTTGAGCAAGAGTTATTGTTCTTGGAATTATTGTTGCCTGCGACTAAGCCTATACTGTTTGGAGTTTGTTATCGTCCACCCAGTCAAAACAATTTTTATGAGGGACTGGAGTTTGTTTTGAACAACAATTTGGCAAAATAATGTATTATTATGGGGGATTTTAATACAAATATAGATAATAGAAAAGGGGATCATTTTAAAGCTTTACAGTCATTATGCCAATTATTCCATTTAACCCAAATAATAAACAAATCTACTAGAGTTTGGGAAGGTGGGGAAAGTACCATCGATCTTATTTTGGTATCTGATGAAAAATATATTTCCCAGAGAGGAGTAATTGAATACGGTATCAGTGATCATAACATAATTTTTTTGTACAAGAAAATGTAGTAAAATAAGATTTAGTAATCATAAAACAGTATGAACTAGATTGTTAAAAATATATAATATTGACGTTTTTAAAGACAATCTTAAAAGAGTTAATTGGAATGATATTCAAAATATCTCAATAGTTGATGCTTGGAAAAATTTAAGTTTTATTTCTTAAAGTAATGGACAAAATTGCCCCCCTTAGACAGGCGAGAGTTAAGCAAAGAGCTAGTTATTGGATGGATCAGAAAATATTGTAAATAGTCATGATCGCCGCCGTCGGCAAAGCCGGCCACCTCAGCCCCGCTGTCGTCACTCTCGGACGAAGACGACGAGGTTCCGGAAGAGGACGACGATGCGGATGTTGAGGATGATGATGAGCTGGTACTCTCACATTCAGAGACCTCTCCTTCTTCAGTTAACGTGGCAGCTCTCCGATGTGAACTTCGACCTGCGTTTGGCAGAAAGCCATTGCCACCTATATAGATGCACAGAGGACACAATTTCATGGTCAAATTGGAGGTAAAGCAAATTCTTTGCAATATACACTACCATTCAAAAGCTTGTGGTCAGTAAGATCAGAATTCATTCCAATATGCTGATTTGGTGCTCAAGAAACATTTATCATCAATGCCTGTTATTGTCAGGCGACATTCACCCTTGTACAGGTCCTAATGGGGAAGTTTGTCCCGGTTTTTACAAAGGGCGAGTTTTGGAATCCGGATTGTACTTGGCTGAACGGAATTCCGCTGTTGTACAGCTACGAGTGTCATGCAGTGACAGGGCTCCAAATATTAACAGCATGGCTAATAATATATCTCACCTTTTCATGGATAATGGCGTGGTCATAATGGGCGACGAGGCAGCTGCGAGGTCTAGTTTGGAGAGGACAGTTTGCCGGGGAGGATGTGTTGTGGACCAGAAAGGCACTGAATACGATGAGAGCTTAGTTGATGAAGAGACTCTTCCAGTATCAAGAGATTCTGCCGATTTGTTTGGGGACTATTTTGACACAAAAGGTTTACATTTTGTGCACTTAAATATAAGGAGTTTGTTACCCAAGGTTGATGAAGGTGCTTACTTAAGAACTGTAAAGTGGGGATTTTTTGCTTAACAGAAACATGGTTAGACACATCTGTAACTAATAATGAAATAAAAGTAGACGATTATAATGTTATTAGGAAGGATCACAATAGACAAGGAGGAGGTGTTTGTATTTTTATTAGATCGGATATTAATTTTAATGTGTTAGACATTAAAGGAACACTCCACTATTTTTTAAAATAGGCTCATTTTCCAACTCTAGAGTTAAACAGTTGAGTTTTACCGTTTTCGAATCCATTCAGCTGATCTCCGGGTCTGTCGTAGCACTTTTAGCTGCAGCTTAGCATAGATCATTGAATCTGATTAGACCGCTAGCACCTCGCTCAAAAATGACCGAAGAGTTTCGATATTTTTCCTATTTAAAACTTGACTCTTCTGTAGTTACATCGTGTACTAAGACCGACGGAAAATGGGTGCAGCAGGCGCAATGATATTACGCAGTGCCTGAAAATAGGCTAACTTCCGCCAACTTAACCAACGTGACCACCTGCTTGCACAGGGAGCGTGCTGGGGACTATTTTCAGGCACTGCGTAATATCATTGCGCCTGCTGCACCCATGGTACGGCAGCAAAGTTCCTTGATTATTACACCGGAATGAGAGTATAGTTCCTAGCCATATCGGCCTAGAAAATAGCAACTTTTCATTTCCCATCTGTCTTAGTACACGATGTAACTACAGAAGAGTCAAGTTTTAAATAGGAAAAATATCGAAACTCTTTGGTCATTTTTGAGCGAGATGCTAACGGTCTAATCAGATTCAATGATCTATGCTAAGCTGCAGCTAAAAGTGCTACCGCCAAAACCGGAGATCGGCTGAATGGATTAGAAAACGGTAAAACTCAACAGTTTAACTCTAGAGGAGTTGGAAAATGAGCATATTTTCAAAATAGTGGAGTGTTCCTTTAATGTTGAGCAAGAGTTATTGTTCTTGGAATTATTGTTGCCTGCGACTAAGCCTATACTGTTTGGAGTTTGTTATCGTCCACCCAGTCAAAACAATTTTTATGAGGGACTGGAGTTTGTTTTGAACAACAATTTGGCAAAATAATGTATTATTATGGGGGATTTTAATACAAATATAGATAATAGAAAAGGGGATCATTTTAAAGCTTTACAGTCATTATGCCAATTATTCCATTTAACCCAAATAATAAACAAATCTACTAGAGTTTGGGAAGGTGGGGAAAGTACCATCGATCTTATTTTGGTATCTGATGAAAAATATATTTCCCAGAGAGGAGTAATTGAATACGGTATCAGTGATCATAACATAATTTTTTTGTACAAGAAAATGTAGTAAAATAAGATTTAGTAATCATAAAACAGTATGAACTAGATTGTTAAAAATATATAATATTGACGTTTTTAAAGACAATCTTAAAAGAGTTAATTGGAATGATATTCAAAATATCTCAATAGTTGATGCTTGGAAAAATTTAAGTTTTATTTCTTAAAGTAATGGACAAAATTGCCCCCCTTAGACAGGCGAGAGTTAAGCAAAGAGCTAGTTATTGGATGGATCAGAAAATATTGTAAATATTAAAAAATAGGAGGGCTCTCTCGATTTATAGGAGATCTAAGAATCAGGAAGAGAAAAATCTCTGCGAAAGGTGTTAAATAGGTTCCACTCGATTGGTAAATCAAAATGTCCTGTATCAAAGGTAGGTCTAGATATTGATGGCAAGATAGAATTTGATAAAAATAAAGTTGCTAATAAATTTAATTCATTCTTTTCATTAATTGCTAATAGTCTAGTTAATGAGCTTCCTCTGTCCAAAGGAAATTATGGGATTGATTTTGTTAAGAGATTTTATTTAAAACAAGGGGTGTTGCCAAATAGTTTTTCTTTTGCTAAAGTTAGTGTAAATCAAATTACTAAAATGCTAGAAGAGCTTCAAGTGTCTAAGTCAACTGGGTTTCTGCAGAGATGCTGCAGATATCATAGCTCCAACTATTACATCAGGGTATATTACAGGAATCATGTAGCTAAGA